TTTTTTTTTTTTTTTTTTTTTTTTTTTTTTTTTTTTTTTTTTTTTTTTTTTTTTTTTTTTTTTTTTTTTTTGTAGTTATATATATATTACTCTCTAATCTAAAATGCATAGAGTATTTTTTTAATATTTATTACATGGTATCAGCGGTATCAGAGTCCCTATGGTTTTAGAATTTTTGTTTGTCGATTAGGATTTCTCTTCCAAGTGAGGCTAGGGTTTGAAGTTTGGGTCATCAAGTTAGAGTGACCATTTGTCAACACCACTCATCTTAAGAGGAGTGACACCGTTAGTAGAGTAGGACCATCGTCGTTGTTTGCCAGAAAGAGTTGCACGTGAGCCACATGGGCCACTGGAAGTTTTTGTTCCCGCAGCCAAGCATCAGCATGCAAGGGCGGGTGAAAGATCCATTCTTGTTTCCACCGCCTGGATTTGTCTCAACTTGAAGTTTCTAGTTGATCTGTGTGATTGGATTTGATAATGCCTACATAGTTTGTCTTGGGTTGTGCTATTTGCGTGTGGGTTGGTTGGTTCTCTCGCAATTAAGGTTTGGTTTGGTTCGTGTTTCTCTTGGGGTTTATCTACATTTGTGTGAAACTAATGGCTGAGATGAAACTTGTGGTAGTATCTAATATGGTTTCTCTTTCGTCAAACACCCATGGAGCATTAGTTAAATGACTCCCATTATTAATTCGAGTAGGACGATTTGGTTTTATCTACGAAGCACTAAGATAGATGGCGACATTGATCAAGATCTACCCGAGGATGACTCAAAGAAGGATTGGCTTCATGATGACACTTGATTGTACATTCAAATCAAGAACTCAATTGAGAGTGAGGTAGTTGGCTTGGTAAATCATTGTGATTCCGTGAATGAACTTTTGGAGTTCTTAGAATCTTTATACTCAATAAAAGAGCAAGTAAATAGAATGTACGAAGTTTGCACGACCTTCTTTCATGTGGAACAAAAAAAACAACCCCGTTACAAATGACTTTATGCAAGTTTAAGAAGATGTGTGCAAAACTTGATACACTTCCCCCACTTAATATGATTTAAAGGTTCATCAAGCTCAAGGAGAAAAGATTTTGAATCTCAATCTCATATTTTCAGAACACTCAAGACTAGCTCATCAGGGCTAATCTAATATCTAGAAGAACTGTGGTCTTTTGCCGCTCTGACCCGAAGGTGCTCGGTCTACTGGAAACATGTTGAACTAGGTCAACTTGAAAATGACCTAGTTTTAGTGCCTTATTCTTAACTACATTATCTAAACATTTATGCAAGCTGAATGAGGAGATAACATTCATTCATCACCTGAAGTACAGATCACAATGTCTTATTCTCTTATATAGCACAACGGAAATCATTATCAGCTGCATCTTAAATTCTTATCCTTTCATAATTTTTATAACACACAGTCCAATATGGCCCTTCTAAAGTCCTAATCATGCATATTCCAACCACCTAAGGTGAGATATGCTCGCATATTAGCATGCCCTAGCGACAATTATTACTTGAAGAAAGTCTGAATGGCTATTTATGTCGGTGGATTGTGCCTTCTCGAGCTTGATTTTCATTTGTTGGGAGCTTTGAATTTTCTGTAATTTCTTTGGTAAGTCCTAATTCCAATTCAAATTAGATTAGTATCGAAGTTGAAATAAACAAACATGAGTCAAAATGGGTCAAAAAAAATGGACCTCACATGCTTCCACGCGCAACTGGAAGGCTTCCACATGTACAGTTCACGCACAAGTACAGACGCACCCAATGGAGAGGTAGCGCGCTCCTAGCATGACATTTGGCCCCTCTAGAATCGCAACTTCAACCCTGACGTCTCGTGCTTGCCTGCATTTTACTTTCTGCGATTTACGACGTCACGACACGTGTCCCTATTCATTGCTTGACACATTCCTCTCCTAGCAGCTTGACGCGTGTGACGCCTTCGCCTTGACATGTTCGTCTCCTCTTTGTGTGATGTGTGTTCACTTGTTGTTTGTCTTCCCTGGATTATTTCTAGATTCCATTGCGTTTTTTTTTACTGTTTTTTTTTTGTTTTTAATTTAAATTTTGTATCTTTTTCCATGTAGCTTGATTCAACTCGGTTCCCTCACCAAAGTTGAAGAGTCTTCAACCAGCTTCCATCAAAATTAATTTCATTGTATTCCGTTAACTATACAGAGAAATAAATGCGTTTAAAAGTCGGTCCAAAACTAAAAAAACTTTCTGGAGGATCGACGAAACTCCGATTTCTGGTGAGTTTTGTGTCGAGGTTCCTTGACGAAGATGTGTGAAGTCCTCTCTAGAATAGTATAGTTAAATTTGAGGACATAATTCCATAGATATCTTACGGATTTGGATAAAAATCGAGAACAAAAACTCAAAATCCTTACCTCTCGATCTCCTCATTTCTGGATGGATTTGGGCTATTCAAGTATTAGACTGAATGTAATCAACCTTCTAAGCAAGCTTCATGAAGAGACCATAGCTGGAAAAGGACTCTAGGTGGCTTGATCGGAGTAGGTCCAACGGTTATTTGCTCTCTCAAAATCCTCTTTTCTCTCTCTTCTTTCTTTTCTTTCCTTTTTCTTCTTTATTTTTTTCCCTAATTAACTCTGCTTTTAGGCTAATTATAAGTTTCAGAATTAGCTATGCATGGAAATAATCAAAATACCCATCTAGATCATTTTTCTCATTTTTCACTATTTTCTTCGGATTTTTCTAAGCATTTTTTCCTTCTACCTCATCTTGAAATTCGGACTCTAAGGCCCTCAATAAAATTTTGGAAGTTAGAACTTTAAAGGAAAAATAAAAAAATTAATTCTTGTTGTGCTCGGTCGTTACAATATATGTGTCATTTGTTTGAGGAGGAGTATTCAATTGTTTGTCTATTTAATTTGATACGGAATCTAACTGAACTATTTCAAATAGAAGATTTTAATTTATAAACTAATATCCTTACTGCTATTACTTCCCTTAGGATGTACATGAATTTTTCTCCAAACATTCACTTAGGTTTGAAGTTACTGATTAATCTATTATACAACTCAATGTACAAAGTAATGGTTAGTTTGTCAGTTTCACATGGCAGGTCAATTGCAAATAATTCATTGAACGGCTCAGTTCCATCCTCCATATGGCAAAACAGGACGCTCAAAGTTTTGGACAGCCTTACAGTGTAAGACGTGAAGTAACTAAATTGCTATGTTGAGGGGTTGAAGGATTATAGACTGCTCTGCACTTCCTTTACCAAATATTTATTCTTGCCTCTTCTGTACTGCAGAGAGCTGCAGAACAACAAATTTTCAAATATTTTGGGAAGCATCGATCTCCCTCAGAACGTCACTGTCTGGTTTGCTTCTTCCTCTTAACTCTGATGTATCAAAATTAGTACAATATGGCTTTAATGAAGTTCTTTATCTTCAATCGGCATAATGCATGTGCACTACTCGATCCATTTGTGCAGAGTGAACCATCCCTTACATTACCTTTTTAAATCTGATGTTTGTCTTTTGTATAAATTTCTTTATGATAGGATATTTTGTATACATTTCACCATATGAATGAAATGGCTTTCTTTCCAATAAAAAAAAAATTGATGTTTGTCCTTTTGAATTTCTGGCTTTAAGTATATGTGTGCACAGCGTACAACCAAACTTGACAAATTGATGTTATATTCTTTTTTTATGGATGTTTTTTTTCCCCTAAATTTCAGGCTTCATGGGAATCCTGCTTGTTCTAATAACAGCCTGGTGCACTTCTGTGGATCTGAGCGTGAGGATATAATTGACATTCCAACAAATAAAAGTCTTGACTGTTCTGATTCAATATGCCCACCTCCTTATGAATGTTACTCGGCAAAATGTCCCTCATTTTGTGTCTGTTCTGCACCTCTTCTTATTGGATATCGTTTGAAAAGTCCCGGATTCTCACGTTTTAGTCCATATCAAAAAATGTTCGAGGAGTACCTGACCAATGGTCTTACATTACGTCTTGAACAATTGGACATTGGTTCTATTGTGTGGCAAAAGGGGCCTCGATTAAGAATGAACCTGAAGCTTTTCCCTCTACATGTTGCCGATAACAATAGTACTCACATGTTCAATGACAGCGAGGTTGTAAGAATTGTTTCCAAGTTTACAAGTTGGAACATTTCAGATAGCGACATATTTGGACCGTATGAACTTCTCAGCTTGACAATATCCGATGTTTATAAGGATGGTTGGTCTTTAAAACTTTTCTGATGAGTTTTTTTAGGATACTCTCTCTTATATTAAATTGTCAGAGACTGAATATTGTTGTGAAAGCTCACTTTTACCTTTGGTTTTCATGTTACCTGTTGAAGCAATTGGAAAAAGGCTTCCTATACTTGTACTTCCTAATTATTATCTATTGATAGAAACCCTGTCTGTGGCATAGTGGTAACCTTTTATGCGCGTTTATTGGGCCATTGCTACATAAATGCATGTTTTGATTATCTTTGCGAAATACTTTTTCATCAATGTTTATTTATATTATTTTCTCTTTATAATGGTGATTTTTTCCTCCTTATGACGCTTCTATATTTGTGGTTTCGTTTGCATTTTTAGTTAATGAGGCTTATGTCAATTAGTTATTTACAATAGAAAATATTCCTGATGACACGACATGATATGTTCTATGGTATCAACCCTGCTGACTAGTTAAATGTTTCCATTTTGGCACCATCATACCCGATACTGAGCAGATGACTGCATTTATTTTACTTATAACTGGAAGACTATAATCAACAATTAATGTTATTTTTGGTTGGAGACCTACATGTTTAGCTATTATGATTATCACAATCCTTCAAATTTGATTTTTAGCTTAATTTTTTTTTCTCGTATTGCAGTATCTATTCCATCACCATCTGATTCTACTATGAGTAAAGGGGCATTGGCTGGAATAATATTAGGAGCAATTGCTGGTGGAGCAACGCTATCTGCAATTATTTTTATTTTTATCGTAAGATTACGTGTGAGGGGCCACCACATCTCAAGAAGGCATCGTCGTAAGTAGTTTATTCCTTAAAAATTAGGATGTAGTATTTTATGTGCCTCCTCTCTTGCAATGCCCAATTCTTAATAAGTGAACGATTTATATGGGTGTGCTTATAGCTTCCCTGCAGAACCACATATGAGAGCTAAGGTTTCGATGCTAGTTTGTGACCGAATATAAATCATTTTATGTTAAACCACCCATGAACCCAAGAGCTTAAGTTGATGAGTAGTTATGATGAATTTACTCTTATATCGCTACTTTAACACTTTTACTCACTTATTGGCTTGCATATTTGTAGAAGGACAAAAGGTTGAAATCAATATTAATTGGAGAGGATTTTTGGGTTTCGAACTTTGGACCTCCTACTCTGATACAATGTTAAATCACTAATCAACCCAAAAGCCTAAGTTTATGGGTTTTGGTGAATATAATCTTAAATCAATACTTTAATACGCTTTAATATGTTATATGCTACAAATGATGATACCTTAGTTTTGAAACCTCATGGTCATGAGTAATAAATGCCAAAGTTTTAAAAGAAACTCTTAGTGGATGCTGGTTCATAGGTTTGGAGGTCTGAATCTATATAAACTATGTTTGGAGGATTGAGTATCAGAGGATTGTCCTAATCTGTACATTTGTAATCTGTAAAAGTCAGTATGTAACGTAGGAGATGATTTACAAATATGTTACCCATATAGTAAGTTCATATATCAAGTGTGCTTGATGTACAAACTCAACTTGGATGTGTTAGTAGAAGTTAAAGGTGTACTTTTTTTTTTTTTGTATTTATGAAGATTGTTTGACAGAAATGCATTGGGTAAAATGGTTGATTGGCATGATGATCTTATTGCAAGATTAAGCAAGTTTACTTGGACATGTTAGATATTTTCATTCAGCTAACTTTTTGGTTTGCAGCATATTGTAAACTTGTAATGCATTTATTGATGCCATGTGGTAATAGCAGTTTCATACTATCTGTGGCTGTGTTTTTCCTGTGCAAATACTTCGAGATTATCCATCCATCAATCAAATTTTTGGTTCCCTTACATGAACCGATAATTTGATAGAATTTCCTATCTTATAATTGTGTATTAGTTGTCGATATTTAGTACTTATCGTTTTTTTTAATGCTGTACAAGGTCTTTCTCCTATATAAGAAGACCTAGGATGTGCAAATTTGAAGATAGAATAGAATTACCATTCACCCTAATTTAAGATCATCCATCATGTCTTGATTGAATGGCCTTGTACTTGATCATCAGGCATCTTAAAATAAATTTCAGTTAATTAGCTTTATCTCCATTTTCTTTAAATTCTTATGCTTGTATAATTGAGGCTATTACTTCTTCATTCTTTGTTAGAATTATAGTATATTATGGCTCATTACATGACATGCTATAATAATTTTGTCAGCCTTCATTTTTATATCAGGCTTTATTATTCGAAAAATCAAACTTTCATAACTAGGTGACTGGAATATGATTAATCTCAGAGTTCTCTTGGTCACTTTAAATAATAAGAAAAGATCATATATTGGTCTTTAAGTATTGTGATTATTTAACATTTGATCTTCATTTATACCAGTGTCAAAAACCTCCATACATATTGAGGGCGTAAAGGAGTTTGGATACCGTGAAATGGCTCTAGCTACAAACAATTTTCACGAGTCCACGGTAGTTGGTCAAGGTGGTTATGGAAAGGTGTACAAAGGAATTCTAGCAGATGGCACTGCTGTTGCTATCAAACGTGCACAGGAGGGCTCACTACAGGGTGAAAAGGAGTTCCTAACTGAAATACAATTATTGTCAAGATTACACCACCGAAATCTTGTGGCTTTGATTGGATATTGTGATGAAGAAGACGAACAGGTAGTTTGAGGAATTCTTTATTTATTTATCATTTTCATAAAAAATTTGCAAAAACACCCCTGAATTTGGTCTGGTATTTTATTGAAGTTCCAATATAGTCCATGCACTTAGGTTTCACTTTAGTCCCTGTTATTTAAATTTGTGACGATTTAGTCAAAAGATTTTTAATGACGAACATCTTTCTTGGAAAGGTCATTTTGATTCAGCTCATCAAAAGACTTCTTCATGGCATTCTCTTTTTAAACTCTTGTGGCTTATTCTATTCAAGATTTATGTCTAAAGTAGAATGCATTAATCTTTGTTTTGTTCTCTTTTTCCCTCCCTTGTGGAGGTCGTTTCCTTTCATCATCAGTTTATCTACATTATTTCACTGAAAAGTTTTGTTTCTAGTAAAAAATTTAAAAAAAAGCTCGAATTTTAAGGTGATACGTTGCATTATAATTTAAATTAAAGTTTCTGTTTGTCAAATTCTGTCACAAAACTTACTTGTGTCACAGCTACTAATTTTATCAGCTCGCTGGACATTACTTTCTTGTCAATTCCTTGCACTGCCTTGAAATTTGGCCTTGAGCAGACTTTGATTTTTAATCATGCAGATGTTGGTTTATGAGTTTATGTCAAATGGCACGCTGAGGGATCACCTTTCTGGTACATTTCAGCAACTTTCCTATAAATTATTTTTTGAAGATTCGGTTTCAGTTATGCAAATTGTGAGACGGGTTTTTATACGTTCCAGGGTTCTTATTCCTTCATATTTATGTCAACTGAAGAATAAATTATTTATTTATTTATTTATTTGAGCTGTTGTTTTCATGTCCCTCTTTTGAGCATTGACTTGTTATGCTTCCTTGTGTTATCACAGTACGTTCTGCAAAACCTTTGAGTTTTGCCACAAGATTAAAAGCTGCCCTGGGTGCAGCTAAGGGAATTCTGTACCTTCACACGGAAGCTGATCCCCCAATATTCCACAGGGATATCAAGTCCAGCAACATATTATTAGACTCCAAATATTTGGCAAAGGTTGCTGATTTCGGACTTTCACGACTTGCACCTCTACCAGATACAGAAGGCGATGTGCCAAATCATGTATCGACGGTAGTAAAAGGGACACCGGTAAAATTCTATCTATATTTCTTAAACTTTTAGAAATTTAATGAAAGAGTTCAATTTTTGCTTACAATCTCGTCACGATTTTAGTAGATTCTAGGATGTCTACTAGGTATTAGAAGGTAGGTATCCTTTTTTATAAACTTATAATTGATCTATTAGGTTTTATAAAGGAAAGATCCTTTGTAACACTAATAAACAGAGGCGTCTATGGTGGGAATCTAAAGGTTTTATAGGAGATTACCATTTAGATGACGCCCTGTTTTCATAGACGCTACAAGTTCTACTATAATGGTAAATATGATAGCAAAAGGAAAATAGAGGAATACCCTCACTTTCATAAACATCTCTTGCCTTTCAGAAAATGATAGAACGGATTTCTCCTTTATTTGTTTGATGTTAGAGATAAATGGCATTCTGCATTTCTTACAACTTTCTACAACCCTAATAGTCATGGATTGCTAGATCACGCAGGGAAATAATGGCCTATAAGGAAGCTAATCTTCGAAAGAAGGAAATACAAAAGTATTACAACAGGTTGGAGCTCGGATGGAGTGTATGTGAAAGAAACTTAAGGATCACAATCAAGATTTTAAAGTGAAAAGATAACCATAATAGGAAGTGATTAGAAGTTCAGACTAGAATCAAATCCTAAAAGATTAGGGACTAAGATACAAATAGAAAAAAAAAACATGAAAATTAGGGGTGTTACCAAGCATGTATGGGGTGACGTCACTAAATAGCCTAAGAAAATTAGGGGCTTTACATTTGGTATCAGAGCCAGACACCAGGCGATGTGCCAGTGAAGAGGCTGACCCTCGAAGGGTGTGAACACGAGGCGGTGTGCCAGCAAGGACGCTGGCCCTGGGGTCCCACATCGATTGGAGAGGGAAATGAAACATTCTTTATAAGGGTGTGGAAACCTCTCCCTAGTAGACGCATTTTAGAACCTTTAGGAGAAACCTGAAAGGGAAGCACAAAGAGAACAATATCTGCTAGCGGTGGGCTTAGACCGTTACACCATTAATTGAGAAACTAAGACATATGATAGTATGATCTAAATCTGGATAAACCTTGTCAAAGAGGTACTTCAGATCTGATAAGCTCTAGAGAAAGTCCGTTAAAGCGCTTGCATTCGGTAAGATGGGGCTGATCGCACGACTTAAGCTAGCACAAATATTTCAACATTTTCATGGTAAAATGGATTTGCACATTCAAAACCACTTTCAAAATTGTCCTATTGAGATAATTGAGATGGGATGTTGGGACACAAATGGAATGTCAAACCTTTGCTCATTATACCATGGTACATGATATAGAGAAACTGGTTACATAAAAATATCTTCCTTTGTTTATTCTCTATGTTACTGTTTTTGGTTAGATAACTGGTTACACTTCCTGGATTGAGTTTAGTTAAAGGGTATTTATGTGCCTTTAAATTTGCATGCTTCCATTTTCCAGGGTTATCTCGATCCAGAGTACTTTTTGACTCATAAATTGACAGACAAGAGTGATGTTTATAGTCTTGGTGTCGTGTTTTTAGAGATTTTAACTGGGCGGCACCCGATCTCACACGGCAAGAACATCGTTAGAGAGGTATTACATCCAAAAAGCATTTGTTATGGCCTCTTTATTTTGGAATACCACAACACCAAGTGCAAGAACTGGATATCATAGTCGTATGCATAATTTGATTGCAAAGGCCTTCTCTGTATTGCACTGGCATCTCTTTTAAATACTTGTATCGTTCATATGTCAACAGGTCGACCGTGCATATCAGTCTGGAAAAATTTTCTCGATTGTCGATGGTCAACTCGGATCTTATCCCCTTGAATGTGTTGAAAGATTTGTGACTTTGGCTCTGAAATGTTGCCAAAATGAAACAGATGCACGCCCTTCAATGGCAGAAGTCGTTCGAACACTCGAAACTATCTGGCTTATGCTGCCCGAGTCTGATACGAAAGTTGCAGAGCCTCCAATGACGAACGTCGTAAAAATGACCAGTCCTCCATCTTCATCATCCAACATGAATAACTATTACACATCAGAAGTCTCTGGCAGCGACCTTGTAAGTGGAGTAGCTCCCACCATCACACCCAGATAGAAAACGTTATTATTTCCTTAATCGACACTTAATTAACAAGCTTAATCTCAGTTTGTATATAGTTTTTAGACAAGATTGTTCTTCAAATACATTAAATCATTGTATCTTCAGAGCATAATTTTTGGTTTACTATTAAGAAATACATTTCATGTGGTTCATGCACTTGCTAATGTAATTAGTGTGGTTAGATTTATTTATTTCTCGTTGTTATAAAGTTAATAAAGATTGATTGAATGTAATTTTGTGTTTTTAGGGGGTAATTTTATATTTTTCTGAAGTGTCCTTTTATGTATTTATTTATTTGAATGTAAGTAGCTTATAATTCACCGTTAGGATGCAAGAAGCAAATATCTAAGTATTTGCTTATAATAAAATATCGAATATGATATGTATCGTAAACTATAATTTAGTATTAAATATATTTTAACACGAACGAAACTAAAGTTTTACTCATAAATCATTCAAAGCCTTTCTTTCTAACATGCAGGGTTGTTTATTGGTTGGTCGGTTTTTGATTGGTTGTCTCGAAATTCTTAAACTTTTAAAAGTTTAATAATACCCTTTCTCACTTTAAAAATTTAAATTTAAATGTAACTATTTTATATTAATGTTACTTGTGAGAATTTAGGTATGTTTTTTTAGATGTAGTATTTACCGTTCTGTCCATATATATTAGCCGTATATTTTTTAATTTCTCTTTTAAAATTTACAAAAGTTCACAGACTATTTTGAAAGTTAAGTATATTTTCAAAACCCTTCTCAAAGTTCAAAAATATTTTTATAAATAAAATATTAAACAAAAATATTTTGAACGGGGATTTTAAAATTTATAATTTTTTAAAAGCCTTGAAAAATTCAATCATATTTTTTTAAATAAAATGCAAAAGATATTTTTATTAATTTAATATAATTTTATTAATTAAATCTATACCACTTTAGACACATAATTTAAAATTTATCCGTGCATTAACTAATTTTTAAAATTAACCTTCTATTTAAAAATCAACAATTATTTAGAGGTTTAAATTAATACAAAGTTTAACATTTTTATTGACATAATTATATCTTTTTCCAATTTTTTAAATTTACATTTTAATTTAACATTAAAAAATTAATTTTAAAATTGATGAACTTTATATATATATATATATATATATATATTCGGAAAAAAACTAATTATCTCTAGAATTTTCTTACATAAGTCGTTATAAATTAAAAAAAGAAAAAAAAAAAAAAAAAAAAAAAAAAAAAAAAA